CTGTAGGCAATGCACACAGAATACAGTTACATACACACAGGGAAAACACTCATACACATAAAATAAAAATAAACCATCTTAAAAATAAAAACAAACACAAATAGATAGGCATGGTGGCTCACATCTTTAATCCCTGTGCTCAGGAAACTGAGCCATGAATTTGAGGCCAGCTTGTGTTACAAAGTGAGTTTGAGGCCAGCCTGGGCTATCCCAAAAGATACACAAATAAAACAGGAAACACACCCAATGGATCTGCCATGGCCCAGAGCCTTCCTCTGGAGGCTCTGTCCTTCTCAGCTAAAGGAGGTAATGCCACGTGCAAAGCTTTGGGGTGGAGTTGTCCCAGTGCAGGCTGGGAGGTGAGTTCAGCAGGCTGACGTGGGTAGCCAAGCAGTTGTGCAGGGACACTCTCCAGACCACGGCCAGGGAGTGGAGCGAGGTGCTCACTACATCAGAAAACTAGAAAGTGTGGAAGGAGGGGAGGAGGGCTACATTTCAGGGCTTCTCCTGAAAATGGAGAGATAAAGTTGGAGTGTCGCTATTTCTACAGATAAGGCGACAAAGCCCCAGTTGTGAGCATTAGAGACTGGAGTGTCCTCGTCAGCGTCAGCCTTTGAGGTGAAAGATTATCCCCCTGCCCTTGTAGACCAACCTCTCTCTTTCTAGAGCTTTCCAGGAAGCAAATGAACTGCCAATTTCAGGTCAGATGGATGAGGCCACAAGGGCCCGTATGAAGCAGCCTCGTTGCGGTTTGGAGGATCCCTTCAACAAGAAGACACTGAAATTTTTGCTTCTGGGTGAGAATTGAGCCTGGGAAGAGGAGGAAAGAGCAGCCTGGCTCTGAGTATGAGGGGCTTTGGGACAGCCTGAAGTGTTTAGTACTTGCTAAGCCAGCTGCTAAAGAGAGTATTGAGTACTCTCACCCTGGGCAGCTCTCCTGGTCGTGTTTCTAACTTTCTGGTCCCTTAACCAGGCCACTGGAGAAAGAAGCACCTGACATTCCGCATCTTGAACCTGCCCTCCACCCTCTCACCCTCCAGAGCCCGGGCAGCCCTGCATCAGGCCTTTAAGTATTGGAGCAGTGTGGCACCACTGACCTTCCGGGAGGTGAAAGCTGGTTGGGCTGACATCCGACTCTCTTTCCATGGCCGCCAAAGCCCATACTGCTCCAACACCTTTGATGGTCCTGGTAGGCACTGGTTCTTAGCTCTCAATTTGCAGACCTCAGCAATAAACTGTCTCCTTGAAACAGTTACTGAGGGACCTTTAAGGTTCAGGCTGTCAGTTTTACCCACCTATACCCTGTAATCTTACTTTCTTCTAATAGTCTCCGGAGCTGCTGTTTCTCATCTAGCTGGGCCCTTACTGAGTCTCCTTTTTCAATCCTATGCCTGGCTTTCATTTCCTCTCTTAAACCTCACTCTGAGAGGGGGCTGGGTCACAGAGGAGAGAGTGGCTGGGAAGGTGAAGATTTTGTTTTGGGCTTTTCTGAGTGATGACTGAAATCTGCGAGAAGCACCTAAGCTAGCTGTGGTGGTGCATCTTGCATCTCCTGTAGCCCAGGCTGACACAGAACCCACTATGCAGCTGAGGCTGACCCTGAACTCCTGATTTTCCTGTGTCCACCTTCCAAGTGCTGCGATTCCAGGTGTGGCATCACACTTGGCAGCAGCTTGAGTATATACCAGGCAGGACATTCTCTGCCGATGTGGGCTCTGACAGGACTGTTTACCGTTGCCTCTGTCCAGGAAAGGTCCTGGCCCATGCTGATATCCCAGAGCTTGGAAGTGTACACTTTGATAAAGATGAATTCTGGACTGAAGGGACCTACCAAGGAGTGAACCTGCGCATCATTGCAGCCCACGAAGTGGGCCATGCCCTGGGGCTTGGGCACTCCCGATATACCCAGGCACTCATGGCCCCTGTCTATGCTGGCTACCAGCCCTTCTTCAAGCTGCACCCAGATGATGTGGCAGGGATCCAGGCTCTCTATGGTGAGTATAAGAGTCATTCTGGCTAATAACTCTCTAGGCTCAAGGAGACAGTACTAGTTTTCATGGAGTGAAATGGCTTGGCTTCTTTCTCTACCTCTACCAAATTCTTCAAGCTATTCATCTTCAAAAATGGTCTCTATTTTTATCTCCTTTATGTCTAATTAGCCTTCCTGGATTTTCTCTCCTCATATCCTAATTCTTTTTTGTTGTTGTTTTGAGACAGTGTATTTATTATGTAGCTCCAGCTGTCCTGGAGCTTGCCATGTAGGCCAGGCTGGCCTCAAACTCATAGAGATCCACTTGCCTCTGCATCCTTAGTGCTGGGCTTAAAGGTGTTCACCATGCCTGGAAAACATTCCAGGGAACTTCTTTCTGGTGTTTCTCAAAACTAAGCTGTGTCTCCTGGATATTGCCGACTAAGGGAAACATCTTAGAACCCCTTTCTCTCTCTATGGGGCTATTGATCAGAATGTACAGCACACAAGTGGAGAGTCTAAGTGTTTGGACTTCTTTCCCTACGTTGCTTTACTTCATGTTGTAGGGAAGAGGAGCCCAGAGACAAGAGCTGAGGAGGAAGAGATCGAGACGCCCACTGTGTCACCAGTGACCACAAAACCCAGTCCCATGCCAAACCCCTGTAGCGGTGAAGTGGATGCCATGATGCTGGGTGAGGCCCTGCCCCAACAGGCTGTTGACAGGCAATGGGAACAGCCTTACTTTAACGCCGGGACGAATGGGGATGACACTGGACGACAACATTGGGGTCGGACTCCAGGAAGTGGCTGGTAACCAGGCAAGATGTGTAGTATAGACTCCGAGCCACATTAAAAGAGGGCTAGGTAGCCGGGCAGTGGTGGCGCACAACCTTAGTCCCAGCACTGTGGGGGCAGAGGCAGGCAGCTCTCTGAGTTCGAGGCCAGCCTGCTCTACAGAGTGAGTTGGATTACACAGAGAAACCCTATCTTGAGAAACCAAAAAACACAAAACAAAAAATACAAGGAAACATAGCAAGATGGAATTGGCTGCGATGCCTATTGGAGAAGGCTTTGCACCTGGTTGGAAGAATTTTAAAAGCGACCTGGAGTAGAGCACTAGGTCTCCAAAGGAACAGCTGACTGACTGGAGGGTGTCAACAACAAAGAAGGGGCTCAGCTCTGGCTCCTCCTTCTCTGTCCTTTTCTCCTGATGTTGAGTGAATTTTTGAAGAGCCAGTAAGGAAACCATCTGAGATACTCATGAGTCATTATCTCCCTCTCATTGGCGTACTCTGCTCTCAGGCCCTCGTGGGAAGACCTACGCTTTCAAGGGGGACTATGTGTGGACTGTAACAGATTCAGGGCCAGGCCCCCTGTTCCAAGTGTCTGCCCTTTGGGAGGGGCTCCCTGGAAACCTAGACGCTGCTGTCTACTCTCCCCGTACACGACGGATTCATTTCTTCAAGGGTGAGTGGGTACATAGGTCTCACCCAAGGGCCTGGTCGTTAAAAAGCTGTGAGTGGGAGCAGGCATTGAGAAATTTCTGAGAGGGTGAGAGGGGGACCAAAAGGTCCCATCTGATGACAGGGGCGACTTACTCTTTCTTTGACCATTCTCAGGAAACAAGGTGTGGCGCTATGTGGATTTCAAGATGTCTCCTGGCTTTCCCATGAAACTCAACAGGATAGAACCCAACTTGGATGCAGCTCTCTATTGGCCTGTTAATCAAAAGGTGTTCCTTTTTAAGGTATAACACAGCAGAGGGTGACACCTTCTGAGAAGGGGGCATAGCCCCTCCCTTCAAGGGGCACCTTCCAAAGTTTGGGTCAGTCTCTGGGGTCCCTAAGCATTTTCCTCATTATCTTCTTCCCATCCATCCCAAATTAGGGCTCGGGATACTGGCAATGGGACGAGCTGGCCAGAACTGACTTCAGCCGCTACCCCAAACCAATCAAGGAATTGTTTACTGGAGTGCCAGATCACCCCTCAGCAGCTATGAGCTGGCAAGATGGCCAAGTCTACTTCTTCAAAGGCAAACAGTATTGGCGTCTTAACCAGCAGCTTCGAGTGGCAAAGGGCTATCCCCAAAATGTCACACACTGGATGCACTGTAGTCCTCAGACTTCAGACACCAATTCACTAACTGGGGACATTACTCCCTCAACCACTGACACAGTCTTGTATACCACTCCCTCAAATATGGACTCAGTCTTGGATATTATCCCCTTAGCTACAGACTCTGCCACCCTTTCATTCCCTGCTAATGTCACCCTGCTAGAGGCCTAAGAGCTAATTAATGTCTGCTTAGGATTGTGCTGGTATTACCGAATGAGCACTAGCTGTAGACCTCATGCCCCTAAATATTCCAATATTCCAATTCTGGACACCACTTTCTTGTGCTCCTTGAAGGTGTCCCTTCTGAGTCAGTCTTCAGTTCTCGTTTCTCTGTCATTTAGCTCTTTCAAGTGTGCCGTCTACTCTCTGGTGGGGGGATATTTTCAATCAATCAGGTCTTTTTTTATTTTTTTGATAGGGTCTCTACATAGCTCTGGCTCTGAGCTATCAGATTCACCTGCTTCTGCCTCCTGAGTACTGGGATTAAAGACATGTGCCACCATGCCTGGCTAATGTTTTTTTTTTTTTTTGTTTTTGTTTTTTCTTCTGGTTTAATGCATGTGCTACCATGCTCTGCTGTCACTTGGGTCTTTAGCTAACAGGAGGCAACAGGTGGGCTATTGTATACCTATTGTATATCTGTTCTTCCAACAAAAGTGCAAGAAAACAGCACACAGTAAACTGAGCTAGGGGTTTGGAGTCCTTGAGCCTCTTGACTGGGGCTTTTGGCAGGCTAATTAACCTCGTCAAACCTTGGATTCTCTATCAACAAAATAGGGTTAATATCGATGTTACATGGTTGTTGCGTTAGATGAAATACTATGTGGAGAGTCTGACAGACTCTGGTACATTTGTGTTTAATAAAGGCTAACTTCAAGTTCCCGAGAGAGGCTGTCTGTGTACATATGTACCATACGTATGCATACATTGTATATGGTAGTGTCTATGATAACGGTGCCAAAGCAAATCTTTGAGGGGAAGATTAGCTTTGTTCTGTGAAGCAAAGAAAGAAAAGCAGCAACAGTAGAGGCCTAACTCCCCAGTTGATTTTTCAATGCTATTTTATTCCCATATTTCCTTGTTCTTTCTCTGCTTGGGGGAGGGAGGTGTCTTCCTTCATACTATCTGGGAAAGCTGGAAGCAGACCTTGGTCAGGCAAGTCAGAGGAGGGTGTTAGAGTGGGTTAGTGGCTGGACCCAAATTCTAGTTTTTAGGAGGAAATTAGTATTACCTATGTTGAGAGACACAGAAGGCACTTGACTACCATATAGCCCTGAATACCAGGCTCCTCTGAGCAAAAGGCGAGAGTCAGCCATGTAAGCCAATGCTCTTTGGGAGCAAGGAACCAGCTTGGAGAGAGGGGAGCTGAGGCAGATACTGTGGTCTTGTCCCATTGAGGAGAGAGGGGAAATCACCATGGAGGATGGTGCTCCCCCCTGGAGGTAGAGGGGACTCAAGACTAGATAGAGGGTCCAGGGAGAAAGGTTAACCAGAAGCCCAATTACCCCCTAAGAAGGAGCCTGGGGGCTGGGAGATATCAGAGCACTTCTGTGCCATTCTCCCTACATGGTGGTGCACATCTGTAATCCCAGGACTGGGGAGGCAGAAGCAGGTTGATCTCTTGTGAGTTCAAGGCCAGCCTGATCTACAGAGTGAGTTCCAGGATAGACAGAGAAACCCTGTCTCAAAAACAAACAAACAAACCCAAAACAACAGAAAACCCAAATAACAACAACAAATCAAAACAAAAAACCCCAAACCAAATGAAAACAAAATGGGTGTTTGAGAGTGAGCTGTAGTTCATTGGTAGAACGCTTGTCTACTGTGGACAACACAGAGTTCTGTCTCAGCATTACAGGAGCTAATAAAGAGCTATTTTGGGTAAACCTCCTTGGTGGGAGTCAGTGTCTCTAGGGATCAAGGCACCTTGACTGCTGGACAGAGGTAGGTATTTCATCTTTCTAAGAATTTTCTCTGCCTGTCTCTAAAGGGTTGGTCTGGGTACAGAACCTATCCCCAAGTCCAAGAGGCAGGGAAATCTGTAAGGTTCTGTGGGCTCGGGCCCACTTATCAGTATCATTGGAGGTTTAGGCTCAGGTCTGGTCAGAGTGAGAAGGTGTGGTAAAGAGGGCAGCGGAACTGCAGTTAGAATCCAGGTCCAGGATCGTGGGGGGGCCTGCGGCCTGGGCGCCTGGTCCCAGCTGGCACTCACGAAGACTCTGGAGATAAGGCTGAGTGGAGACAGGGCAGAGAGAATAGAGAGAAGGTTCTGGGTCAGAGCCCCCAGTTCATCCTGACCATCACTGGGTGCCCTCTGATCCATCCTTCCAAGGTGCCCACCTCCCCATGGTGCCCCAGCCTCTCACTCACTGGAGCCACAACACGAGCAGGGCTCTGGATATTGGCGCGAAGCTGGCTCTGATAGCTGCCTTCACACAGTCCCACCCCAGAAGGGTTCCGATGCCACTTGGCCTCTTGCTGATGGATCCGAAGAAGCGGGAGATGCCTTCGCTGGTGGCTCAAGACCACTGGGGAGGAGGCAGTACAGATTCAAGGGGGGCTCTTTCGTCCCTGAGTACCAACCCCAAACAGAATCATACTCCATAGAAATCCTCCTGGCAGGGCTGGAGAGATGGCTCAGTGGTTAAGAGTGCTGACTGCTCTTCCAGGGAATCAGAGTTCAACTCCCAGCACCCCCATGGCAGCTCACAACTGTCTGTAACTCCTGGTCCCAGGGATCTGATACCCTCACATAGACATATATGCAGGCAAAAACCAAACCAAAAACCACTGTATATATAATACGGATAAATAAATCATTAAGAAAGAAAGAAAGAAAGAAAGAAAGAAAGAAAGAAAGAAAGAAAGAAAGAAAGAAATCTTCCTGGCCTTCTAGTTGTGGGTCTCTCAAGCCTCAACTTTCCTTCAGTTACTAGAATTCTTCGACATTTCCCCCATCCTTCTCTGCGATTCCTCTACCCTTTCATAATAGTCTTAAATAACTCCTTCCTGTATCTCCTGCATTTTTTCTTCTTATTCTACCCTGACTTCCTTTGGCTGGTCTGGCTTTAACTTTCCTTCAGTCCTGCCCTGTTTGACATGGGAATCCTGCCCAGTTGTTACCTCTCCGTCTTTCCTTTCCCTCAAATGTAGGAAGCAGGGATAATAGTAGGGGCGGGTTGGCTGCTTTTGTACCACAGCACTAACTCACCATTGGTGTGGATTCCACGTTCCTCAGCCATGAGTTTCCACTGGGTCAGTGTCCCAAGAGCCCCCAAGACTGGCCAGGTCCCCAGTAAGACCCAGCTATACCAGCAAAGAGGAAGCAACTCTGGAAGTGCCTGCAGGCGTTCTCCCAGCCGAGTGCCCAGCGCCAGTCCTTCCAGGAAGTAGTCGGCACAGGCTACCAGCACCGCAGCACCGAGCAGGGCTGTGCCTAGGACTGTGAACGGACGTGGCCACCGAAGCGTGAGCACGGCTCCCAGCAGTGCCAGCCCCATCAGTCCACCGACTGGCACCCAGGCTGAAGGTGGCTGATAGATGGGTTCAGTGCCCAGTAAGGCCCCAGCACCCAGGGTCAGGCCTAGCAGGAGACCAGTCAGAAAAAGCCCAACACTGCGAACCAGCATGGTGACCAGGCCGCAGAGGAGTCCAATGCCCAGTGCGATGCCTGCGCTCACCTCCAGGCTCAACTGGGTCTCCAGCACCCGCTCCTTATGGCACAGCAGGAAGATCACCAGAGCTCCTGACAGCAGACCGGAGAGAAACATCACTGCCTTGAAGCAGCGGTAGCCTGGGAATGGAGGTAGGCAGCATTGAGAGGTGGAAAGAGGTCCTAAAGGGATGGTACTGGTATGTGGGGAAAAGTAGTGGAAGCCAGGAGCAGCATGGCATGGGGCCTCAAGGACAGGGCAAGAAAAGGATAAGCCCAGCAATAGAAGGAAGGCATTTAGAAATTCTGAGGGGGGAAGGGGAAAAATCAGGAGGTAGAATGGATGCACTGTGGAGAGAAAACAAGACAAACAAGACAATGTCTTAGCCCTCCAGCAATGGTACATTGGAAATCACTACAGACTGATTCAGATTCTGGGTGGGGAGGATAATCTGGGAATGGAATTTTGAGGTAGGAGACAAAAGAAGGGCAAAGACTAGAAAGCCAGAGGGTATGGGCAAACAGAATGACAAGAAGCTGGCAAAGGCAGTATGGAAAGCCCTGAAGCATCTCCTGATACAGGAGGAAAAGTGGCCCAGGAACAAGAAGGAAAGCTGGCATCATTCTTGGTGACAGTCCTTTAGGCAGCTGCCCCCCAGGCCTTTGGCCCTGCCCTCACCAAAGCAGCAATAGATGATTCCAAAGCAGCAGCAGAGGGCACACACAAGGGCAGGGGTCAATTCCAGGCTGTCCTGAGGTTCCAAGACACATCTTGGGTCTGGAGGCTCAGGGAGTTGTTGATTAAAGGGCCTTGGGTCAGATGTTACAGTCAGGGGCAACAAGGCTTTCTCCATGGTAGAAGAGGAGATGGTCACAGAGTGAAAGGTTAGAGCCAGCTTCTTTCATCCAGCCATAACTATCTGGCTGAGGTTGGTAAACCTGGCAGAGAACAGAGAGCAGAAACCATGAATCTTGAGGCTTCTGTACTGCCATTTCCTTTTAAAAACAAAACAAAACAAACCGACCTGTTCCAACTAAAAATCAACTCCCCTCATCTGCCAACCCCTGGGACTCAATACCAACCCCTGCCAAGTCGGACAGGGTAGGGTTAATAAAGTGGGGTGAGGAAGGAAGAGGAGAGAATGAGTCATCTTAGGGTCTCAGGACAACCTCAAAGGTATAGAATGGTTTCCCCTAGACCTCCAACTTCATCCCAGCCCAGAGGTCCTAAGCACACAGGTGGCTATTGGCAGCAGGAGACACCATGCTTTTTGTTTCCTAAACTCCTGCTAGAGGGCCCAAACACCAAGGAAGAAAGGGAACAGATATTTAAAAGAGTTCCAAGTAAGAAATTAAGAGCCACCCCATCAGCCTCTGTCAGGCTTTTGAAGTCTTGGCTTCATGTCAAGATGTAGTTGTAGTTGTTGTGGAGAGCAGAATGCAGCCAGTGCAAATCCTATGGCTTACATGGGGGTGGGGAGTGGGTAAGCAGGCGCCTTGCCCACAGACTCTCACATCCTGGAATCCACTTGCTACTCGCCTCAGACACGCATGGGAATTGTTCCTCCCACCCTCTCATCCAGCCATGCCTGGGCTGCCAATGGGATTTGAATTCTGATCCTGAAGGATCCCTGAGGAGAGGCTGGCATTGGGATACTGCGGAAGTCGGGTGGTGCGGAGCTGTCTTTTGGATACTGAGTCTGAGGTCTTAGGCTGGAATGGAGAACTCCTGGGACTCTTCTCAAAAGCGTAAGAGTCTGGGACCCAAAACAAGGAGAGCTTAAGAAGGTTAGCTACTCACCACCCTGCAGGGCTGAGGAGAGCCAAAGGGGTAGACTTGCTTCCCTAGACCTCCAGCTTCATCCCAGCCCAGAGGTCCTAGGCGTAGGGGTGGCCTTTGGCTGCAGGCACCCCCAAGGCCACTGTGTTCGTTGCTTCCTAAACTCCTGCAAGTCGGAGTCCAAACCCTGTGAGCTAAATGCAATTAGCTTGGGGGTGGGGGTGTGTGTGTGGAGGAAGGAGACAGGGTGTGTGTATGGGGAGGGGATGACATCACGGGGCGGGCCCCCTCAATCTTTACCCCTGTGTGTGGGGGAACTCAGGCTACCTACTTCTTTAATCCAGGGTTAGGGACCCCCCATTAACCATAGCGATGAAGGGTTTCGGAATACCCACCAAGATTAAGACGGAAGGTTTCTGAGTGCTTAGAAGATTAATCAACCACTTGGCGTTTTCAAAGCCCGAGTGGGGTCCCAAAGTACCCCCGGATGCAGCTTGGTCTCTCCCACTTCCCAGAGAATTGGAGTATTGTCTTCTGGAGAACCGGGTGGTCGGAATCCGGGTTGCGGGTTCTTACTAGTGCTGTTGGGGGTGTTCTTGGGTGAAAAAACTTGTGGAGCAAGACGGGCCTGGTAGGGACACTGACTTTAGGAGTGTAGAAGAGAGGCTCCTTTAGGATCTGCGTAGGGGTGGGGGCACGTGCTGGCGTCGACCCAAAGCTTGCTACGTAAATGAAATACAAAGCAGCGTGCAGATGAGTGCGGGGTTCTATTACTCTCAACTGGGTTCTGAGCTCCGTGGAGCCAAGCTCCGGATACCCTAGCCGCATTCTCTGGCCCGGCCCGTGCGCCGCGTTCACCGGGGAGGAGGAGCGGGCCAGCGGGGTGGGAGCTGGTGGGTCCCGGAGAGGAGTGTGGCGTGTAGTTAGGGGGCTTGCTAGTCCGGGACACACAGTTCTCTCCCTCTGGCTGGACAGCCGACTGGGAAGGCTCTGGGCGCGCAGGGCCGCTGGCGCCTCTGCGTGCCCCGGCTTTCTGCGAGCAGCAGACTACCATCGCCCGGCTTCGGCAGCGACTAGGAACACAGCCCGCGGGCGGCAGCGCCCAGCTCGGCGGCGGCGCGACCTGCGTGGTCCGCGGGCCGAGGGCACTTTAAGGGGCGGGGCCGGGCTCTGGCGCCGCCTCCTCGGTTGACTCCGGGCTGGGCGCCCCAGCTAGCGCCTCGGCCAACCGCTCTTCTCTTCCCTCCGCGTCGTCTCCCCGGCGACCCCGGAAGTGGAAGTAGGTGGCGGCGGCGGGGACGGAAGGCGGAAGCGGAGCGCGAGCGGGAGGCGGAGCCGGGGGAGCTGCTCTCGTAGCTCCCCCTGGCCTCAGGCGCAGCTGCTTGAGGGGGGAGGAGCTTCCGCCGCTGTTCGGTACGTCGCTTCGCCCCGGGTGCCCAGCCGGTGGGTTCTCGGGTGGTCTTTCGCGGGGTCACCTCGCAGCTTGGCCCTCAGCTTTTCCTCTAGGGCTTCACGGCCCCCACCCTTTCCTTACAGATCGCGGCCTCTCTCTTCCAGGCAGTCTTTTTTTCTAAGAGTATTCCCCCACCCGACCACACCCTTTGCGGAACCCCCTGCCCCCCATTTCCCTGATTGAAGATTTTTAGCTTCTTGAGGAAAGAAAAATTAAGATTTCGGGGGTAAGGGAGTTTCTGAAGTCGGAGTTGGTGAAAGCAGATTTGTGGTCAGTCTAGTTAAGGTTTATTGTTAGGGTTGTAGCATGTCTCCAAATAATTTGAGCTAACACGGCCTGGGGAGTGGGTACATTGAATATGTAATTTTGGGATTGTTTAACTTTATCTCTTGGTTCTATCCTTGACCATTCCCAACTTAATACCTTTGTTACAGGCAATGATGGCTGTAACCTAAAATCCTCAGGAAGCCCCGGGGTCATGGCCCAGAAGCACCCCGGAGAAAGAGGGTTGTGTGGAGCCCACCACGGTGGTGGTGCCTCCCTCAGGACATCAGGACCCTCTGTGGACCCTGAAATACTTTCATTCTCAGGACTCAGGGACTCGACAGAGACTGCTCCTAATGGTACACGCTGCCTCAAAGAGCACTCTGGCCCTAAGTACACACAGCCCCCAAACCCAGCCCACTGGTCGGATCCAAGCCATGGTCCTCCAAGGGGTCCAGGACCACCTAGAGAAGGAGGCTACCCTGATGAGAGTGAGGCATCTTCAGAAGAGTCAGGAGTGGACCAGGAACTCTCAAGAGAGAATGAGACTGGGTACCAGGAGGATGTGAGCCCATCTTTTCTTTCCATTCCATCTGCTTGTAACTGCCAGGGAAGTCCTGGAGTCCCTGAAGGGACTTACTCTGAGGAAGGAGATGGCTCCTCCAGCAATGTTTGCCACCATTGCACCTCTCCAGTGTTGGGAGAAGATGAAGAGTTAGAAGAAGAATATGATGAGGAGGAACCTCTTAAATATCCCAGTGATTTTTCACGTGTGTCCAGTGGAAAGAAACCTCTATCCCGGAGGCAGAGGCACCGTTTTCTCACCAAGGAGGATACTCGGGATAGTGGACGCAGAGATCCCAGGTCCCCTGGTCGTCATCGGCTGGGCCGAAAACGAAGTCAGACAGATAGGCGCAGAGGCCTGGGACTGTGGGCAGTGGAGGAACTGTGTCAGCTTGGACAGGCAGGCTTCTGGTGGCTGATTGAACTTCTGGTACTGGTGGGAGAATATGTGGAAACTTGTGGCCATCTCATTTATGCATGCAGGCGGCTGAGAGTCAGTGATCTGGACCTTTTTCGAGTTTGGGTGGGAGTCTGGGCAGGGAGATTGGGGGGCTGGGCCCATGTGGTGTTCCAGTTTCTAAGTCAGAGCTTTTACTATGTGGCAGGGCTGTTCACCCGTGTTCTCAGGCTAGTGGGTGCTTTCCTACTCCTGGCTCTAGCCCTCTTTTTGGGTTGTCTGCAGTTGGGCTGGAGGTTTTTGGTGGGACTGGGTAACCGGTTAGGCTGGAGGGATAAGACCACATGGCTATTTTCTTGGCTGGATGCTCCAGCCTTGCATCGTTGCTTGGCTTTGCTGAAAGATAGCAGGCCGTGGCAGCAGCTGATAAGATTAGTTCGGTGGGCCTGGCTGGAGTTGCCTTGGGTCAAGCAGAGGACTAATAAACAGGGTAATGCACCTGTAACTAGTGGACGCTACTGCCAGCCAGAAGAGGAAGTGGCCCGACTTTTGACCATGACTGGGGTTCCTGAGGATGAACTAAACCCTTTTCATGTGCTGGGAGTTGAAGCTACAGCATCAGATACTGAACTAAAGAAGGCCTATAGGCAGCTCGCAGTGATGGTGAGTATCCTTTGCTTCTTGTTTCTCTTTTCCGTATTTTCTGTCCCAATCTCAGGGAGTGTGGACAGAAAGGTTGAGGAGGAGGCCAATTTAAAGCTGAAGGATTACATTCCTTTGTGTTGTTTTTGCAGCAGAGTTTCACCTTGTGTTGTGGTTTACTCGCTAGCATACTAGTTAAGGGTAGCATTCTTAGGAAAGAGTAAAAGACTTCTTTGGAGATCTGACTTTGTCTCCCATTTTAAGTCTTTCGTCATGAGGTATTTTTTTTGGGGGGGTCAGTATAGTATAACAGGCAGGGTTAGCTCACTCACTGTGCAACAGCTAAGTGAAGTGCCTTAGTTGCTCTCACTTGAACAAAGGAATTTTTGTTTTGTTGTTTTGGAGTAGGGTATTGCTATGTAGCTCCAGCTAACCTTCAATTTGTGATCCTCCTGCTTTTGCTTGTGAAAGGCTGGGATTATAAGTGCAGCATCATGAGTGTAAAGGAGGTATTTAAAGAGATTATCTTAAAAAAACCTTTTTATTGATTCTTGGTGGGTTTCACATCATGTACCCCAGTCCAGTCATCTCCCCATCCCCTCTTATCTGCCTGTCATTCTTGCAAATCCCTCTCCAAAATACAAAACAAACAAAACAAAGTGTAGAAAACATCTCATTGTGGAAGCTGTAGTGTGCCACAGTGTGTCCTGCGGGGAGCCAAAGCTATCTATGGAAGCCAAAGTCAATTAGTGAGCCAAAGCTATCTAGTGGAGACAAAGGTATCTACTGAAGCCAAAGTCAATTAGTGAGCCAACGCTATCTAGTGGAGACAAAGGTATTTACAGAAGACAAAGCCAAGTAGAGAGCAAAGGTCATTTAGTGGAGATCTAAAGCTATGTAGTGAAAGAGTTATCTAAGACTCTAAATCATGGGTGACAGATTGTGAGGACATCCATTTGTTAGAGCATCCGTAAGATATCTTAAGAGAACATCCTTATGGTATCTTGCAGGTACAATATTTAACCCATGAAAGCACTCTTCCTATTTCCTGCAGCAGTAGATTAACCTTCCCCCTTTCCTGCCCTCTCCCTATATAAGTTGGGTAAAAATTTCTAATAAAGGAAGCTTTGATCAGATGAACAGACTTGGCCTTCATTCCTGCGTCTCTCGTCCCTTTTCCCCCATTCCTTCCATTCTCCTACTTTAGAAACCCTGTTGAAGTCCCGCGGGTCGGGACCGTGCCCCACAGTGTACCCCTCTGTCCACACCTCTTCATTTGTGAGTGTTCATTGATGTGGTTTGAGATCCCTGGCTACTATGACACCATCAGTATTGTATCCTCACTGGGACTCCTGGTTATTCTGTTGTTGCTCTGTATTAGGAACATCCTGTAGCTTTGGAACAGCAGGACCAGCTCTTTGTTGTGCCCCAACAGTTCACAAATGATGTAGATTTAGGGGTGGGCCAACTCGAAGCCCTGGATCTGGGCCTGCGTGGTAGAGGGCCTCTGGGTTACCTCCTCTGGCTACACTGGCTGTGGTGGCAACTAGGCCTCTGTGTGTCAGTGGCCTGTCAGTGTCTGTGCATCTGTCCCAGCCTGTGCTGCCCAGCATGGCAGTTGCCAGGTCTCTGGATGTCTCCTGACTTTATTTTAAAGATTTATTTATTTTGTATACAATGTTCTGTCAGCATGTATACTGCACACCAGAAGAGTGCACCAGATCTCATTATAGATGGTTGTGAGCCACCACATAGTTCCTGGGAATTGAACTCATGATCTCTGGAAGAACAGCCAGAGTTCTTAACCTCTGTGCCTTCTTTCCAGCCCTCCTGTCCTTTCTTTTAGTCTCCACTGCCATCAGCACAGCCCTGGGATTCTGTGATGACCTCCTTGTCACTGACCTCAGTAAGCAGCTAGAGGTCCCAGCCCAACACAAGTCAGGAAGAAATTACCTTTTTAGCTTTATTTATATGTGTGAGTGTTTGCTTCCATGCAGCCTGGTTCCAAAAGAGATGAGAAGAGGGTGGATACCCTGGAGCTGTAGTTACAGATGACTGTGAGCCACCTTGTAGGAACAGACAAACCTGGGGCTTCTGTAAGAGCACCAAGTGCTTTAGCCACGGAGCCGCCTCTCCAGCCCCAACGGACATTTTTAAACATGGAGAAAACTAGCCTCTCCTCAAAAGGCAAGTGTAGGCCAAGTATAGGAGTTTCAGGTTGTGCATGTGAGTGATTACTGGGGAAGGAGCCCAGAGCTTTGTGCATGCTAGGCAAGTGCTCTCCTACGACAGTTCCTAAACAGAAAACAGAAATTCTTAAGATTCAGGATATAAAAGGAAAGGACAAAAACGTAAGTCGTAAGAGAGGTATGCATATCACAAATGTACATGAAGATATGATTGCTTTTGTTAACTACATAAGTGGGAATTTTGAGAGAAATTATTATATTTATATTATGTTAATAATATTTAATAAATAAAATATTTAATATTTTAATAATATAATATATTATTTATATATTATTTTTATTATTATTAGTAGTATTTTAATTATTATTTTTCTTGGCAGTGCTGGGGATCAAAACCAGAGCCTTGTTGTAAAAGTAACTTTTCAGTTGTCTTGGAGGTTTACTGCCTCTGTCTGCTAACCCATGCCTAGTCCTGGAAGCTTCTAGCCTGTGTACAGTCTTAACGTAGACCTAGAATGTTTTCAGCCTCTGAGACTTTGAGCTGAATAAGCTCACCCTTTCTTTTTCTTATTGAGCACTGGGTTGGCTGGTTCAATTCAGCTGTTTTGGCTCAAACTCCTCTCCCAGCTGACCTGGGAGAGGTCACTGTCTTCTCTCTTGGCCCTAGAATTACTCTGCTTGGCCTCAAAGTAACTCCAGCAATCTTTTCCA